CGCTTCGCGGCTTCGACGCTTCGATGCGCGTGCGCTTTTACCCGAACGCCCGTGCAATGCCATATCATTTGCATCACTAGGTCATGAAAGGCAAAACAAACGACTCCTCTCAACAGTTTTTGTCTTAATATAATATTTTGACACCCTGAAAAATGTACAATTTCAAGGGAGTCCAAAAATATATCTGACAGTGCTAACATGTTGAAAGAGGGTTTAAACATAGAGTGCTTGTGGAGAGACATAGCTAAAGAAAGTGTAAGAGGGTCCAAAAACAGTGTGGTTATAGACGCTTCTCTCTCTATATATATATATATATGAGGGACGGTCAAAACTCCTTATTCTTCTTCAGCTAAAAAATGGACGTCATCGGTTTTGAGGTGGACCTTATCGTTTTACAGCGTTTTGAGTTCGTCGCATACTTATGACCATATACAACGCTGGGGTTATCGGTTTTGAGGTGGACCTTATCGTTTTGCAGGGTTTTGTGCACAAACCTACCCCTCTTTACTAAAGTGGTCTTCGCATGTTTTGACCGTGGCTCATATATTATTCACCCACTTCATGCTGCGTTCATCTCTAAGTTTTGTGTGGATCATGCACATTGTATATATATTCACTATTGTTCACTCTATTTTTCGGCAACCTTAAAATTGTGCACGTTTCAGGCTGTCCAAAATATAGTCATTTGCAAGCGTTGTTGGCTATAATTTGGATCCCTGAAGAATGTAAGAATGTACAATTTCAAGGGGGTAAACAAATATATCCAATGATGTTTCAGCAAGTTGCACAGTAAAACATAAATAAACAATTCTAAGCCACTGGTGCGGGCAGTTGTCCTCGCGAAGCGACCTGAATAGTCTGTATGCAATCATCAACCCCTTGCAGAGTTATAGTTCATTCTGGAGAAGTGTTGACCCAATCATTGTATAGGTTTTTGTGGGCAAACTAAGGGTGCCTAAGCCAACCTCGTGCTGCTGCGCTCCCCACAGTCTTCCACAGGCCTGCTGATTCATCGCAGGGTCGCCCCAGCTAAACTGCACCACATAGTTCTGCCTGGCACCAGAAGCTTCAACGTTCCAAAAGGCCACTGAAGACACGAAGAAAAACAAACTAAAAGCGAATCACTTGCATTGCCCAACAAGCGAAATCTTAAAACGCTCTGAATTCCCTGGAATCTCTACCAGCCCAAGAGCTCCATGGAGGGACATTTGTCTCCGTCCGACTCCGTCCTCATCAGGTCGGCAATCAGGTCGGGCTGGCGCTAAGGAAAATGTCTTGCCCAAATCTTTGGACAAGTAAAGCATGTGGTTGCATGGACCTGAGCATCCACCGGGCACGCTATTACGTTGGAGGCCATCACTATCAAAGGACAGATCCCAGGGACGCAAGGAGAAACCCGGACCAGCGGCTTTTTGCGGACGTTTGGGGCATTCTGCCCATATGCTGGCTGCTTTAAATTGAAAAAAAACAGTGCTTTGAACTACTACCAGTAGGGATGCGCTGTCTTCTTTTTCATTCTGGGGCAATGAGTTCAACCAGCCTGGCATCTGTGTGTGTGTCCATTCTGTCTACAAACTAGCATTTGGCAGTCACAACCTGCCCATGGGCTCAGGCGCCTGGAGCCAGAATGCTTGTCAAAATCATCATCACCAACGTCTGAGGAAAGGAACCTGATTTCCCCTGAAACTGCACCGAAATGTAAACCATCAATTCACCTAGCATTGATGTCGCCTACATCAATGGCGAGTGATCGTCCACACACACACACACATGTCAACGTGTTGTTTCATGTTGTTTCCCTCTGGGTGACATGAGATGTGATTTGATTCGTTATTTGATTGGTTGGATTTCAGAAAACTTCACATTCATGGTGGTGAGCTTAAAACCTAAGAGACATTCAAGCCGTAAGATGAAGTTTATAGTCGTGAGGCGTGTATATGATTAACTTGTCTCGACAAGCCCGACCTTGGGTTGAATTTGAAACAAACATAGCGGAGAGAGATGGTAGTTTGAGGGGCTTGGTATACTTGTAAGCTTGGTATAGAATGAAGGGATCGTCCAAATGGTCAGGCGGACCATGTTGGTGAGTAAGTCTGTAGCTTCGGTGTGTGTGTGTGTGTCACCCTCTGTTTCTAAGAGTTTTCTGCAAGCAGGGGGACGGGTCACCACCGATACTGCCCGTCCAACGAAGAGGGTATCGGTTGGTGCTGAAGCAGTGGAGGACGCTCTACTGTGTACCTGCATCCAACGCAATGACTCCACTGGTTTCCCTTGCCGCTGTTGGTTTGTTTCCATGGTGGTTCTTCGCATGATATCCCCCAAAACAGGTTTCCTTGCACGGCGTTAATTCAGTCTGCTAAGTAATCAGTAACTAGTTTTCTGCAGTCACGCGTCAACCTTTGTTCAAACACCTTCAAGTGCTTGGACGATTCACCTTGCCGTTGAGCCATTCCTTTCCTCGGGGAATTGATGTAACTGCAAACCCATTGTCTAAGGGTGTCCCAATATGTTGGACATCTTGGACTCCTGGACCTTTTTTCTCACGAGAGATGCCCCAGCGAGAACAGAGTGTGGACATGGTTGACCATTTCTCAAAGAAATAGGCTGGGTTTTCACAGTATTCCATTGGATTGTAAAGCCTCTTCTACACCACTTCCTCGGATGTCCGCCTGAACGAAGCCCTGTGTTGAGGCGTGACACCACGAACGCCACTGTAGGATTGCAATCTTCATATGGGGAGTTGAAATATGATGTCATCACCAAATGTGGCTGACCAGCCCTTCCCTTCCCTGCAGTCCTCGCAACAAGTGATCCTAAGATCCCAAATGCGCGAGACTCCGCGTTCCTCAGGCTCCCAGCCACCCCCATCTTCGGCCGGTTCAGGCGCTGCGTTGGTCTCCTTCTTCTTGTTGCCTCGGCGAGAGCCGCAGCCGCCAGTCTCTTCCGCCAGTGAAGCGATGTAAACCGGAGACCCGGTGACGAAACGAAGTGCAAAACAAGTTCATCCTGGACCTCCGATTGACATGTCCTGGTGGTATGGTGATGGTTGATGATGGTATAACCGTATACCGTATACCCCTATATATCCTCGTCTTTCCGCTAATGCTATGTCCCATCTATGTCTATGTCCCTTGTTCCGACCACAGTACCCGCCAGGCATCGTGGAGTTCAGGGAAGGAATGAGGAGTGCACCACGCAATTCACTGCAAGCGTGACCCACCTCACCAATCAGACTGCCGCCCCCCGTCTTTTTGTTCCCAGACCGCTCTGGGGGTCTCTGCAAGTGCTCGTCCAGGTGGAGAGCAAAAGCCACGTGGGCCGCCTTGGCAAGCTCCGATCCAGCTGTGAGGCTGAGTGAGGATGATGGAGGACGATGTGTGAGGGCAAGATGTGTTCAATCTCAGACATTCAATGCATGGCATATTTACCTACATTGTTACATTGGGGATCATTGCTGTGGTTATTGAAGCCCGGTATATGTGTATATATATATATGGTAGAATATAGTGCCGTATATATAGTAATTGCACATAATATACACTCTATACAATGGAGTGTTTGGGAATTAACTTCATTGGATGAATGACTGCCGTCTGACTTTGGGGACACGGAGACGGTCTGATTCACTGCATTGGTTCATACCTGATAGCTGCAAGGGCGAGAGGTACATTTTCCAAACCAACAAAACCTCAGGGTGACTCACCTGTTGGAGGAAAGGCTTCTGGTGAGGGACGTTAAAGCAAGTGCCTGCAAAGGCACGAGAGTTTAGATACCGGGTGTCCCAGGTGGTGTCCCAAAAAGATCCAGCTTTCTGAGGTCAAGAGTTACAATGGCTATTGAACCGGATATTTCTTCGAAGGAACGCAGCCGTCTTTCATGGGGCCGAACGTCAGAGGCGCGTCTCCTCCGCCCGCATGAAACGGCACCCCATGTTGGTCTCGTCTCCCGTGTCTTTCGGAACAGGCGGCGTCTTGTGGAAGATCACCGTATGGATCTGTGATCGTTGCCGGAGCTTCTTCCATGAGGACCCCCTGTGTGCGGTCCGGAGGGCGGAATCGGATCGGACTTTGCAGCAGGGAGTGTCCAGATCCAAAGCCCTTGGGTCATTCCAAAGCGGTCATGCAGGAAAACACTGCATGAGGAACTGTTTGGAAGCTCCTCAATGTCTGAGGCACCCATGTCACCCTTCAACACAAGGGCCCACGAGTGTTGTGTATCAACCGAACTTCGCTTCCTCTTTCCCTGCCTTGGCACCAGCCCTGTTTTGACACCAACTCCGAGTCTGGATCGTGGTGAGGGATCCGTGGCGAGCGGTCTGGCTTGGCCAACACTGCTCGATCAAAAACGGACGGTTGACGGGTGGGTCCTGCGGATGCGGCCCACCTTCCACACCCGACAACTCTCCTGATGTCGAAGTCAGGAGGAAGTGGGAAAACCCACAGGCAAACATGGAGAGGCACCAAAAAAAACACACAATCATGATCTTGACATGTTGGAGGCTACTACATAAATTGACACTGAATCATATCATTAGCATTCATTGGGCATGTTCAACATTTTCCGGTGATCTCTCCAATCTATTTGGGGTCCACTACATGTCAACACTCTGCAAGGCTTCGCACAAAGCTCCACGCAAGCTCATCGAGGTCTCCGCATCAAGGTCTCTGAGCATCTGAATCAGCTCCGGGTCGCCGAGCATTTGCGCCACATCCATGGGGTAAAGCGCCTCGAAACGGATCCTACTATAGATGTTGTCCAGATTACGGAGTTGATGAGCATCAGCAAAGCCATGCCTCTCCAGAAATTGCTCTAAGCGATGATGCTTCTTCTCTTCCGCTGTCAAATCCTCATGCGGCTCAACTTTTGGGCTCATGCCACGACTGCGAACGGTACTCATACTTCGCAAACCTAAGCGACACTCATCATCCTCACTGCTCTGAGTGCTGAGTGAGGACAAGGAAGAGTTGCTTCTGGCCACTGCGGGGTGTTTGGACCTCTTAGGCCTCAAGCACAGCATGGCTCATGTGCAACCTCACACCGGGTCTCCCCTCCCTCCCTCGCCTCATGCGCTTGGAGGGAGAGCTCAAAGCGTTGGAGCCAAGAGAATGGCCCGTAACGAATGGCTGTCTCGGTGGTCGTATTTGTTTCTCTCGTGCCGTTTGCCAATCTTTTTCCCTCTCCAAAAGGTTCAACCTTGCCTTTGATATGTCAAGTCTTCCTATACACCAAGAGATCTCCTCTTAACGTATAGAAGCGTTGGTCTTGACGGCGATCTTTATATATCAATGACTGATCCATATTTGTTGATGGCCATGTCACAGCATGTATGCGATCATGCCGTTCATTCCCTATGTCCATTCCCTGGGGAATTGAGGACACTGAAGTGTCCCGAGTCTATGCGAGTTTCATTGCATGTCTCACTGTTCCTTCCCGATCGCCCACCTGGTGCTGGAGATGAAGTTGGTCTTCTTATTTCCAGATACCTGGTGCCGCGCTGGAAGACAAGCAAGCGAGCGCATGCGAGCATGCACGGACGAAACGCGGTGTACCGTTCCAACCACACGGATCCACAGACACACAGACCAAGCGTTGGGGGCTTTTCTCCAAAACTCCCGTCACTCAGCACCCAACGACCTTTTCCTGGCCAGTGTCCAGCAGTGTGTTTGCGATTCTGACCACGTATCGACCAGTATCGACCTGCCAAAAAACGAACACGAAGTGGTCGGCCAGGCGCCAGGATTGTGTTGGGATCGGCTGGGCTCTTGGTGATGGACTCCGCAATGAAGGGTTGCCTGGCATCTCGGCTGGGCCAGGCGGCCGCTTCGGGGTGGGGCAGGTTTTCAACATCGAATCTTCCAACGATAGGCGCCCCAAACTTATGGGAGGGTGGAGCATTGATTATGGAGTGGTCACTGCATTGGCAGCCATGCCTCGTTTGATATTGGCCTTCCTCCAGATATTCGTGAAATGGGTTGTGGTGTTCCACTGTGACGGGGTCTAGCAAAGAATTGGGACTTTTAATCCGACACTCCGCACACATGTTGTGGTTCAATCTTCCATCAACATCACCTCTTGGAGGACCTGAACCTAGTTTTCGCCAAGACAGAGATTGGTGTTTGAAGAAAAGTGGGGGAATCCGTGAGAACCCCATGGAACCCCTGCGATTCTCAAAGTGCCATACACCTCAGTTGTTCTTGAATGTGACCAGCCCAGCTGAGAGCTCCCGACGGCGAAGAGCCAGGCACATCGACTGCCGTGTGCGCACGGGACCGGGCGGGACTGAGTGGCACCAGTCAGCACAAAGGAGCTTGGTTTACTACTAGGAGCAAAGGGCATCGCTACTAGGAGCAAGGACGCTACTAGGGGCTCCTGGCCTTACTACTAGGAGCAAGAGGACGCTACTAGGAACAAAAGGCATCACTACTTACTACTATCTGATTGAAGAGAATTTTGACGAAGTGTCTCCTGAAGACATGTTGTAGTACTGTAGTACGGTGTGTACTGTCTGTAGAAGTGACAGAAGGTGGTAGTGTGAACATGTCAGAGAATTGGTTGCTTTCAATCTGGAGCTCATTCCCTTCGAAGCACCGCACCAGTCAGGTGATGGTCAAATTCTGGAAGTCTCCCTGCCTTTGAAGAAGTCGGTGATGTCATTCCAGGTCTCTCCACCATTGGTGCTTCGATAGAGGCGCCTGAAGTTTTTTCCCCAACAGCCAGCCAAAAACATGTTGAAAACTGGTGCATGTCTGTCCATACCGTAGGCTCCGGAATGGATACTCTTAGGTGTGCTGGCCAAAGGCTTATCAACAACCTGTTGTGAGCACTACCTGAAGCACTCGAAGCATCAATTGTATGATGATGCATCACCCGCCCATCCGTTGGACGAGAAGCGGATCAAAATCCTGAAAATCGGCTGAATGCCAAAGCCTTCTAAATTGCTCTTCGGCTCCTATTAAAGGATTGCCCAGCAGGCTTCGATTCATCCCAAACCGGTCCAGGTAGCTTCTTCTTGAAAAAGAAACAGGATGGTTTCGTCTGTTCGCAGACCCGCCCCCACTTTGGTCACCAGCCATTTGAGCCCTTCACAGCTCATCCCCAAAACGCTCAGTTCCCCCCCTGGTCCCACCAGGCCAAAACAGGATCCCAAGCACACCGAACCACACGGCCCACTTAGCCCTGCAGATCCCAGGCCCATGGCCGCATGGGCCGCCGCACCCTTTGGTGGTCTGCGTGATGACGGTCCGCTGGTCTTCACCCAACCACTGTGCCACGGCACGTGGGGTGACCGGACTCGAGTCCAAAGCAGTGCTCCAACAGCGGTCGCGGGGGATCAGAATTCACATCAGCATTTCAATGTTTCATGTAGTTGCCCCAACTTGGGGACACATCTTGTGCAAAGATAAGGTCTGCGGTACATAGGTCAACCATGCCACAACCCTTGGTCTGCTTTTGAGGTTCGAGGCAACCGTACATCCCAGGTTCTAAGCTAATCACTAGGTGAGATTTCACCATCGACCCATGCTTTCCCTTGCGAAAGACCTTGAGGGGCCCTAAAAAACTGCCCAAGGACATGTGGATTCTGGTGCGGTCGCTTTTTTCTTGGCTTTCCTTTTCTGCACTACACAGAACAGTCCCCTTGACCCACACAGATTTGATCTGCCTGGATGTCGGACACGGCACTATCAAAGACCACCTCCTTGACGGAGACTGGCGCGGCAGCGGCGCGTTCGGCAGCGGTGCTTGCGGCGCTTGCGGCACCGGTGGAGAAGCGAGACCTCTTTTTGGAGTGCTAAGCACTCTGTTTGATCATCGTTCTTCACTTGTTCCTAGTAGCTTTTTGGTTTCTAATAGCTTCTTGTTACTACTAGTAAGGCACTTGTTACTAGAAGCGATGCACTTGTTCCTAATAGCTTTGGAAAGATCTCGTCAAAGTCTTTGATGAAATCAGATGAAATCAGATCAAAACCCGCACCGCACTCCCTGCTTGACCCTGTGTTTGCCATTTGCAGATCGGATACATGTCAGATCGGCCTTTCTTCCCGGCCAACACAAACGTTAGCAATGTTAGAAGGACGGCCTGGGCGAAGGCAGCACGAGGAAGTGAGAAGTTTCAACACTGCCACAGGACGTGTGTAGCCCTGTTTCCCTCCAAAACCAAATGAAGGCAATGTTCAGGGGAGGAGTTTCCGGGGGTAGTATGGGTGCACGAACTTCTGTTCTCTTAACCAGCCATTGGCTGGATGAAAGAAACCTGTCTCCAAACAGGACTGGAGACTTTTTAATTGAGCAAAGGAGGCTCAGCTTGCATTCAAAGACTGCTCCCCACCAGTTTCACAGGAGGACTTGTCAAAAATGATCTCTAATGGAAGATGAGTGCTTTGGTGAGTGTTCCCTTATCGGTTCCATATCGATATATATATATAGTTATATATATATAGTTTCTGCAATCTTTCACACGCAGGTCAGCTCTAAAATGCTTTAAATAACCCCTTACCAACTCAACTGATGGACTGTGAGGATCGTGGCGAATGCACGGAACATCAACGGAGGATCTACTTGATGTACTTGTGGTGCGGAAGCGCTGAAACATCTCGAGCGACAGCATCACCGCATCTCGATGCATTCCTTATCTTTCACCCACAATGCTGTCTTGAAGCTGGAGCCAGTGCAGGTGGGCCTCGTCCCGCTGCCTCTCCCGACCCCGCCCAGCTCGACACCACCCACCCACTCGCTCTAAGGCCAGTGGCCACGCGTGCCGCTTCACGTGCACCCATGGTGGTCCATGCGCCCTGCCGCTGCGGGCAAAGAGGGCGGAGACTGCGGGAGCCAGCTCTTCTTCAGCTGCTTCTGGTCAGAGGGGGTTTGAAAAGGGCTGGGACAAAAGTTGGGTGGTCAGCGTCAAGTTCGGAACCTAAAATGTTGGGTTTGGAAACTGAAAATGTGGGGTTCAGAATTTGACAAATTGCGTTCGGAAACCAAGCAAACATAGATGTTGAACCCGACAAAATAGTTTCTGAACCCGGCCGAGCCAAACCAGTTGCTGAACCCGACAAACCCAGTTTCATCCAGTTTCTGATTTTTTCTGAACCCTATACTTTTTGAACCCTAGTTTCTGAACCCTCCAGTTTCTGGACTTTCCTTTGTTCGATGTCTCATGACTTCTCTGCATCTTCTCCATATTTCTCCATTCTCATCATTCTCCGGCCACCTCGCAATCCTGAGTGCCCCGGCTGCCGTGCTTGGACTCCCAAAAATCCCCAAAACCTTCTAAGAATTAAAGCTGGCGGTTTCGCCGGAATTGGAGCCAAACGGCCAAAGAGAGAGCTGCAGTAAGCGTTCCGCATATACCGCTTACGGACCGTCCGTTCCGTTCCGGCGATGAACGGAGCGATTGTTGGGGCGCTGGAAAGCTTCTAATATTAGAAGTCGTCCGAATTCAGATTGGTAGTGTGATTTGACAACAGTCATCGTGTGTTCGCCAGAACGTAGGGTTAGCTTGGGTTGCTGCTTTCACTGGCTCAAGTGATTGCAGCCTAGGGACTGCTTTGAATAGGACAGGTGTCACAATGTTAGGTGGGCCATGGCTATCGGTGCTGGGCCTCGCGTTGACCCTGGAGCTTGTTCAAGGCCCCCCGGCTGATTGGGTCTGGTGGTTTTCTTCCAACTCCTCGGATGAGGTGGAGGAGATTTTCCCAGACGCAACCGTGGGCGAGACCGCCCCTCCCAGGATGGCCCCTGAGGAAGGTGAGCGTTCCGCTCCTCACGCAGGAGATGCGAGCACTTTCGCTCATGTGTGGGGTCACTCAGTTTTCCATTTTGACATCAGGTCCTGGATGGGACCAGCATGGTTTAGCACCCCACAACAGAAGGGAAGTCTTAGCTCCTCCGGGGGCTGGGGGCTTTACTTTCTTGATCGATTTGGACTCGCTACCTGCGGAGAATTTTGGCCATGGATTGCCTGGGGAACCCTACTAGCGCTGATTACAGTTTTGACCATTGGGGTAATCTATGCGTTGACTTGGGTCTTCCGGCCGATCCGGCTACTCTTTGATTGCTGCACCCGTCATACTCAAGCTGTTGCACGGGAGGTAAGTGATCTTCTGCCTGAGTTGCAGGCAACCCACACTTACGAATCCTTAGCCATCCGAGGCCCCGGCTCCAGGGAAAGTGTTGATAATGACTTCCTACAAAAAGGAGTCAAGGGTCGAGGGACTGAGAGAAAGCCCAACGATGTGGTGCTTCTGCTCAATGGCCAGGCAGCGAGGGTCAAACCCGATTGCGACCACTGGGCACGCGTTGATCGGAATGGGCTTTGGGTCCGGCTGAGAGAAGTTCGAGGTGTTTCCCATCGAAATCTGAGGCAGGTTTTGGAAGGAGAGAGTAAAGTCCACCTTTGCCGGGAAATGCAATGTAGTCTTGAGAACCACCCTACACCGGGTATACACTGCAAAACCTACGCAGTGGTGGATGCCAACAGCGTGGTAGATTTGGGAGCGTACGCCGGGTGGTCCACCAGGCGACTGATGGTGCTCTTTACCAGATGTTTCAGAAGTGTCGGACGATCCGTCTGGAAGATGGTCGGGGTACTCTCTGGGTGGACGCTCCTTCGATATCTGATGGATACCCCTCAACCAGCCCGTACCATTCAGGATCATGGAGGTCTCCGTCCCCTTGACCCTGAGTCGGAATCTGAAGCTGAGGTCCTGGAAGATCCTTGCGAGGCCGTCCTAGTTGGATTGACCCATGGTGGCAAGCCGCGAGCCTTAGCCAATGAACCATGTCGGGATCAAGCAGCTGGGGAGTCGGTCCGACTCCTTGAATGTGACAAGGGTCTTTCTGATGTCAAGGGCAGGCAAGCGGTCCGCTTGTGTGATCACCACCGACAGTTGTATGTGGCAGCATGTTCCGGACGCAAGTGCAGCGTGCTCTCATGTTATGAATCACACGATGGAGCCAAACAAGGGGTCCCCCTATGCAAGCATCACCTGATGGATGTTGGTAGCTCGGTGCGCAGCAAACGCAAGGTTACCTGGGAGAGCGACGGGAGCAATCCAGAAGCAGAAGAACCATCCTCAGGAGTCGAAGGTCACTTTGAGGATCAACGGGGGGGTCTCTCCTCAAGCCCGCAGTAGCCGCCCCAAGCGTAGAGCTGCCATTAGCCAGCCCAAGGCACGCGCTTCCTCAGCAGGGCCCCAATCTCAGTTCCAGCATCAAGCGGAAGGCAGGCTTCTTCAAGGCCCATGTATCTCACTAATCAGATTCAAGTCCCTCCAGAACGGGGAAAGTCTGCCCAGATGGGTCGCGTTTTTGGGGCGGGTTACTGGGGTCGCTACATCTAGCCGAGCTCAGGAGAAGGTTGAAATTGACATCCCTGCCCTCAAAGTTCAAGGGGTGGTCCACCTCTCGCAGTTGCGCCCCCCCCCCCAGGGATGATGGACACGGACGGATTTGTAGGGAATGGATTGACGACTTCCTTCAAGCCTCCCATGAAGAGTCCGTCGGGAAAGGGATTTCATTCCTGTGTAGTCAGGTCACTGAAGAGCAAGCTCTCTTGCTCCAAGCATGGGACGGCCAGGTGACTGATGGCGAGTCTCCCTCGTTCCAATCAGGCAAGACATGGATTTGCAGTCATCTTCAACAGGAGGTTCTCCCTCATGCGGAAGCTTATGTTGTCACACATCAACACAAGAAGAAGGAGTTCATGACACCTCCGAGACCGACAGCTGTAGAAGATGGTGCAGGGGAGGATTTACCTGACATTCCCCCTTTCCCAGTTGATGATGAAGTGGATACCGGAGCGCGTCTCAATGCAGCACGAGACACATTGTTAGCACACTCACCAGGAGATTTGAGCGCTGAAACAGTGCAAACGGTAGCCACTGCTTTCGAGGTCGATCCGACCACCCTCATGCAGCAGTTCGGGATCCCAAAGAAGCCACTAGAAAGTACCATTCGACCTGCTGCTCCGGCCCCATCACATACCCCACCAGGGTTGGAAGGGCCGTTCAAAGTGACGACCCCACAAATTCCTGCCCCTGCTCCAAGTGAACCCGCCTCGGGCCATGCCCTCGTTATCCCAGGATCCAAGAGAGTCCCAAACCCCCTGCTGGGGGC